CTCAGGCACGGCTAAATGTAAGTGAAAAAAGTGCTTCTATGAATGGAGCGCCTTTTTTATGATATTATGATTATCGTATAAATTTACAATAGCATTGTCATTATATTATATGTTTTCCCGCTACGCATTGCATTAGTACATTCTTTTTACGAATAATGGATGCAAGAAGGCATCTCAAAAATGATTCAAGTCAAAATTTCCGACATGTTTCAACTTCAGCTGTCAAAGTGGTCGATTAATGTTACCATGAAAGTGTCTACTATTTTGACAATTGCTTAAAACTATTACATTTTAACAAAATGTATTAAAAAATTATTAAATATAATAATATAAATTAAATATAATAATTGTTATGTAGATAATTTTTTTAGAAATACTGATATCTTTGAAGTAGAAACTAATCCTGTGTATAGAGTTGATGTTTTGATGAGTCAGTACATTTTTGAATTGTTCATGATTGGCAAACTTTGAATGTGACATCCTATATCTCGTGCAAACGTGTGTTTCAATGCCTATTATAGCATTGTCAGAAGTAATTATGTGACATCTTATATCTTGCATTCTCTGTAAAAAAGATATTGCTTATTAATTACAAATATACATACACACACGCACGGAAAAAAAAATTTTTGTTACCATAGCTAATCATGGTTTGCAAAAGAAATTTCTAAACTGCAGCAAAACGGTTTGCTGTTGCACCTAATAAATAGATATCACAGCTAAGATGTTCGCTGTTGCACCTAATAAATAGGTGTCAAAGCTAAAATGTTCGCTGTCCATATATTACAACTGAAATCTAATTACCACACGCAGTTTTTAGCTACGGCAGCTAATTTTTTTTTCCGTGCGTCAATATTAAATTGAAAAAAAAAAAACATTTTACCTCCAAAGCTGATCATATATCTTCCTGTCCATATATTACAACTGAAATCTAATTACCACACGCAGTTTTTAGCTACGGCAGCTAATTTTTTTTCCGTGCGTCAATATTAAATTGAAAAAAAAAACATTTTACCTCCAAAGCTGATCATATATCTTCCCGAGTACGCGAAGAACAAAAATCTGCGGCAGTATGAATCTCTTAATCATTTTCAGTCTCAAGTCAATAGCTGTATCTTCTATGCAAACGTGTTTTAATAACTATAAGTATAATAGAGTCTGATCTTCCTCCACAACAAAGTCTCACAAATCCAAAGAAAGTAAAATAAATATATACGAGGACTGACAATTAAGTTCATAGAAAAAATTTATTACAATTACAGAACACACTTATTCGTTATCTGATACGCGGTCCCTTTTAAAATAGTTTCCTCCTAAAGCAATGCACTTGCTCCAACGTTTTTTTCCATTGCAGGAAGCAGTCTTCAAAATCATTCTCCGTGAGGCTGTTCAAAACACGCGTCATCTATTCCATCT